TCAGTCTGGGTGCCAGCTGAGCTCAGTGGGTGAGCGGGCGACCACACAACTGCCGAGCAGCGGCTCGGGTTCGACCCGACCCGTGGCCCTTTGCTGCGTGCCATCTCCTCCCTTTCTATTCACCATCCAATAAAGTCATAAATACTTCAAATAGTGGACCAATCTCAGACCTGTAAATATTCTGATTCTTTGATTTCAGTCAGTTTTTAAACTTTCGTGTCCTGTTCCAGATTCTCAGTGTTTCATCACAGTGAGCTGATCTGTAACCACCGACAAGTCAGCGCCACGTCAGCTGGCGTCACACATACGAGTTTTACCTTGCTGTGAGCGTAGACCACCGATCCCAGCAGCTTCCAGGTTCCTCCTCGGCGATCCATACGGATCATTCGAAGAATCTGAAGGAACCGCAGCGACCTGATGGCCGACGTGGCGAAGACGTTTCCCTGAGTCCCTGCAGCCAGGACTGATATGGATGCTATGAGCACCATGATGTCTGCAGACAGACAGGTTACAGGTCAGAGATGAACTTTGTACCATCATGAACTGGTCCTTTCCATTAGCACTGGTAGTCTAACATGGCCCCACTGGCACAAACCCAGCTTTCTGTTCTCATTACAGACGCTGGGTCTGTCTGTGAAATCATCATGTTACTTACCACTTTTAATAATAATGATGATAATACATTTTCTTTTATGCACCTTTCAAAACACTCAACGTCACCTTACGCAGAAGAATAAAACAACAACAGACATAAATACCAATTGGATCGGTTTGATTTGTTTGTGGAGGACGAGTCGAGATCTTTTATAGATTTTATGTTCCAGGCGACTGAAATAAACGATGGTGCAACACAGGAGGAGCCAAGGCGTCTAAAATCTCATCAAGTCCATCATTACATGAGCGTTTAATCAGGGAAGGACGGAGGATTTATGCTCGGGAGGCAGGCAGAGTGTTCAAATTAATGCCCCTGATGCTGCAAAAGGAGATGAGTTAAATTAACATTAAAGACATTCACATGTGGTCAGAGGTGGGGAGATAAGCTGCAGCAGGGGTGTCCTCTGGGTGTTAGATATCACTCTGTGTCACCCAGGATTAGTTCATTAGCAGGCCTCTGGAGAACTACAAGACATGTTGTTGACTGGATCCTATCCAGGCTACCATGTGGCGAGAGGCGGGGCTAACACAGACAGACATTCACACCTATGGGCAATCCCCAGTTAACCTAACCCCACTAACTGTGTGTCTTTGGACTGGGAGGAAGTCGGAGTACCCGGAGAGGACCCACACAGACCAAAGACATCCAGACAGCAACGGGACACTGGCAGAGAGTCGGAGAGGGCGACTGTGTGGAAACGTAGGGAAAGCAGGGTCGTCCAGATGAGCACAGACCCCCAAACAACACGTTAAT